GTACTTACAGGCACTTTGCCTTGTTGCTGTATCACCTACTTCTGACACCATTGTGGGTCTAGTTACAGATTACTGCAAGTGGTTGCCTATCAAAACTTCCCGCTCCTACAGCTTATTGCCATTACAGGAGCAGTTACTATTACAATTAATATCCTGGAACCAGTAAAATGCTGGCTTACAGATAAGGATGTAGGATGACAAAACAAGTCTGGTCCTGTACGCTTCAAGTCATTTGGAAAACATCTATTAAATCAAGTCACAAGAGGATCAGGCCTGAGGCAAGAAGTAGCATGCTGGAAAGTTTGTGAACTTGGGGGAGGCAGAACACAACATTCTCTGTAGTTTCTCAGGTTTTAGCTGTTTCATTATTAGATCTGTCGCATCATTTTTGATTCTTTTCCCTAGTGGGATTTCTCTGCTTCCAAGAAGTTGGTCTTTTTGTTCCTGACGGTGTTAGGACACCAGTGGCCAGGAGTCAGGGCAGACTAAGCTCTTTGGCACTGAAAGACACTGATGCTCTTGCAGCCACTGCACGGTTTTTCTAAACCACTCAGTGCTTTCTTAGCGGCTGACGAGCATCATCAGTCAGAGGGTAGGGCTTGTTTTTATTTTTGCTGCATGGGTATTAGCACGTGAGGTGATGTGAGGTTTTTTTCTGAGTGGGTGGCATGAAGTCATCCGGGCTGGGCACCTCACCAAGGCTGGCAGTGACGGTGCTCTGTCCCCGACTTCCCATCAGGGCTCAATTTCATTCAGTTCTCACAGTGTTACTGTACTTCATGTGAGAAAATGGTGTGTCTGATATCACCCATCTCCGCAAATCAAGTCAAGGACTGCACTACTGGAGAGTGCTGAGCATTTGGGATTCTTGCAAACGTTAGAGAACTGCTTTCTCTTTTTCCTTACGTTTTAAACACAAAAAGAATAACGTGGAAAACCCAAATAATATTTTCCTAAGATACCTATTCAATAGGTGTTTGGCACAGTAAGGACAGTCATCCTCGCAAAATAATTATTTCCCATGGGCTTGAAGAAGATTATTTATTTTCAAAATGACTTAAAGTTGAGCGGGGAGACGAAGGACCTGTTCACTCCTTAAGCCCAGTAAAAGGTGATCAGTGAGACTACAGTCTCACTTCTGTTTTCTACAGTGGTTAGCCAACCCCCACCCCAAATCTAATCCCTGCAGCTTTTCCAAAAACATATGGTCAGAAACACGTCACTGCCAATCAAACGTTAACGTTTGGACTTCATGGCGTATAATTGAGGGAGAATACATGCATTCATTATAGTCAAAATATAGAGAAATGCCCAGTAGAAGATACCTTGGAAGAGACGATATGAACGTATAATGATATTTTTGTACTCTGGTTGTGCTGTGCCCTCCTGTAGTGTGCAGTTTCCACCTATTAATTGATTGCTGCCAGTTAACAAATGCATCCATTCTGTAACTGAATTGCACTGAATTTCCTTCCAACTTGTCAGATCTTTTTGTCTTAGTCTTCCTCTCCTAGATCACATTTGTGGCTGGTAAATTGGTTTCTGAAATGCAGCCTCACACACTTTGGTTTTGAGTTAGCTTTCTTCTCTGCAGGACACTGCTATATACTGTACCTTTAAGTACCCAAATCAATTTAATTAAATTTCATTACAGGCACTAGAGCTGAAACAAACTAATGAAAGCAGCCATCATGTCAGGTGGTATTTATCTCGGCATTAAATTGAAAATACTCCCTTTAGGCTCTTAAAAATTAGTTTCAATATTTAACGCTAATAGCTTTTGGAATTGTTGATGGGGATAGTTTTAATGAATGTGTTACAAACTGTTTACCTTTCTAAGGAAAGGAGCTTGTTCCTTGCAGCAGAAGAGAGCTAAAGATAGATGACTTAAAAGTATTAGGGTTTTGAAATACTGCTGCCCATAAAGCTGTTGAAAAAAAACACCGTGAAGGTTGTCATGCAGTGACAGCCACGTGCCTTGGCGAGTCAAAAGCGACGCCAAGTCACCCTGGTACTTGTGTCAGAGCTTATTGCTTGCCTGACTTGTTTTATGGAGCTGATCAGGCTTACAAACATGAAAGTTTGTAGCAGATTTTGTTGGAAGACTTCGTTATAGGCACTGCACTCAGCAGAGAGAAAGATGGAAATTTGCAGGGCGGAGAAGAAGGAAAAACATCTGCTGCACAGAGGAATGCTATTGCCAGCATCCCAACTACAGCTGGATTTTGCTCCCTCACTGTTAGGGCACCTTGCAATGCTGTTTCTGCGGAAGCAACATTGACAAAGTACGTGTTGGTATTCCACGGAACAAAACGGTTGCCACACACTATTCCTGTAGGGTCCATGGGATTGTGCGGGTCATAGGAATTTATATCCTCCATTTCCCATCAGAACCAGGGTACACTTATTAATGTAAACAATGCAGATGGAATAGAAAGCAGAAATAAAGGTTTAGGGGAAGATTTAGGTCATTTTTTTCTGAACCACATGCCAGGGGTTTATTTGAGGGAAGCAAGAGTGCAAAAGGAGAGTGTTCCTGGCCATGTGTGGATCCAGACCCACAAAGCTGGAAGCATTTCTGACTTGCACCGTGTAAGCGTGGTTGACGTCTACTCCTTTTGCAGGCAGACAGTAAGAAATAGTCTATTCTTTCTCCCTTTGTCAGATCTAGAGTCCATCCTCTTGGTATCTTCCTCTTCAGTGGTCTGTTTAAAAGAAAATAAATTATCAGAAAACTGTAGCAGAGTGAATTATAGAGTCACCACCTTTCTGATAAGAACTTCTGACCCCAGAGAAGGAGGAAGAAGGGAACTGTTTTTCTTCAGCAGGATAAAGGCATGGGCTTCTCACATATTTGCTACTTCGTTTTTATAGTAGAGAAATCACTGTGCAAGTTATTATTAACAGGAGATGTAACAATAATGCTAAGTATGTTATTTACAGTCTTGATGCCTGGATAAGATTATTGGGACTTAAGGTGTTCATTACAATTACAGCTGTAAGCTATTAGTTCTTCTTAAAAATATATATGTATTCTATACTTATACACCTATATTTGTATATATATTGAAATTTTCGAATAATTTCCAATTTGATTTATCACTAAGAAGTTAGGGCTTTACAGATGTTTTTGTCTGCATTCCCATTGATCCTTCCTCTAGGTTGGAGGACGCAGCTTGTGTAGAAGCTGCTTGTTGGAAAGGAAAGATTGGATACAGAAAATGTTAGTTTAAGCAAGTGGTATTAAAGATTAACTATTTTTTTTGACTTACTATTTTTTATGAATTAACTGATTTTCTTCCTTATATTTTCTTGCATGACTGTCATGAAATACGAGGTACAGTTCAGCAAAGTGTCCTAAACATGAGTGACCTCTGTGGACAAACGCTCACTATCAAGTCTACGACTACTGTGAATGCTATGGCCCAGACTTCACTCTTCTGTTTGTTTGTTGGTTTTGTTTTTTTTTTTTTTTCCCTTGAAATTACAACCAAGATACACTCATGTTTATACAAACGCATTATGTAGGGACTACAGACATTCAGAATCCGTAGTTAGATGTCACCTCTGTCTATCCTAATTTATTTTTCCCTCTACGTCAGGTATGAGTGTCTTCTTTCCTCCTGCTGTGTCACAGTCTCGCTGAGCTCTCTTTCCTAAAGTTTAGTGGAAGGAAGGTTTTTCAAGCCATTTTCTCTTGCAATTCAAGAGCCAGGTGCCTGTGGTTTCTGTGGGGGGAACACAGTCAGAGAGATGCCTTGGGCAAAGGCAGAGGATGGGAGGGGATGGGATTCAGGGTTGGATGTCTGGAGTAGTCTGATGTACAGGGTGGGAAAAGTCTTTACTACCCCAATGGGGAATTATTTTTCTGTAAGCAAGAGGAAAATTCCAACTGTTTTTTAGTAATATTTTATTATGTTTATTTTTATTCAGCATTTCCTTGCAAAAAAATTCGTTTAGCGCCATGCCAGGTGCTTCACTCGATTTCCATTGATCCTAACAGAAAATAGGCATTTTTAAAAGGCTTATGCCTTCAGCGCGGGACTGGGAAAACTCTGTGTTGCTGATTTAGATTTCACGTTAAGCACTGATAAAGACAGTTAAAATCTATCAATACTTTAAGACATTTTAAATTTTGTAGCTTAATAAGAGCACTAGCAAAAGTCAATTTATTCATTCGTGATACTTTCAAAGTATTTTTAATATCCTTTTAAAAATGTAAAGTACCATATTTTGGATTATTGCATTATATTATGGTACAGAAACAAAACATGTATGATTGAAACTCTCCTTTTTTTATTTCTGAAATAGCTGTTTCTAGTGTTTGTATTACTTTGTTTCCTTTCTTTTTTTTTTTTTTTAAATACATCACCATTACCACAGTTTTAAATAGACGGAACAGAATTTCTTCCTGTACACCTTAGAGCAAAATGAAACAAGGAAAATGCATTGATTATTTTTCTGCTCACATTTGTGTGAAGAAAATGGGCAGTTAATATAAGTAGACTACAGATACCCAAGTAGTTGCAGAAATGTTGATAGTCTTGGAGCTTCCCCATCTACTTACTCCAGAATTTCCTCATATGATAGGAATGATTTAAAGCAAAAACTGATTTTCACCATGAAAACAAGTACTTACTCTTTGGAATATTTTCACAGCCAGAATGCCATTTGAAATGTGAAAATAGAGACATGAAAAAAAGACAGAACTCTTAAACAAATGGCCTAAAAAGTTGCTTGGTGTTTTCATAATTCGAGTCTTTCTCAAATGTGTTACTTTACAGAACTTCCTGCATTTTAATTTTTCTCCTGGTGTGTCAGTACAGTCAGCACGTTGTATCCTGCGCCAGTAAGGTTTTTTCCCACCCAGTGGCAGGAAGAAGCGAGTAGCCTACTTGTGTGTGCACGTAGTGAAAACCCTAGAGGAAAATACTCTGTACTCAAACTGGGGAGCCGTATGGAGTTTTCTCTAACTGCAGTCGCCATGGTTGATGTTGCAGGACGGATGGTCGCAGTATCACTTCGTAGCCTCATCTTCAACAATAGAAAGGGATCGGCAAAGACCGTACTCTTCATCACGCACGCCCTCCATCTCTCCCGTGCGCATGTCTCCTAACAACCGCTCAGGTAAGACCAGGCTTTCAGGACTGAAGTAAAGCCAGGGCTATCCCTCGCTGTCATTTGCCTTCTTTTAGCAATGTCGCTGGCACCTGGATTTGTTGTTAACAATGGTGGAAGGGCACAAAATAGATTCTGTATTGTTACCTGAATTATCTGCTCAAAACAGGATATTTTTTTTTTTATTATTATTATTAACACCTTGTAAAGTTTTACAGCAGAAAGAATACTCCATACGTTTTTTGTTATGAATTCTCACGCAGTGTTTTCCTGATTGGCGTTACCTGACTAGATCTCAGGGCAATGGTGTCCACTAGTAGCATGAGGAAGTTCTATTTCTTTACTGTTCATGCAAACCACTGTATTGTTCGTGGCCGTTCTGCACACTTAGCAGAAGTTGAAGAATCCACATTATTTTTTTTGCCAGCTCTTATTCTGATTGCATGTGTATAAGTGTGCGTACACAGGCATGTGTAAGTTTCACAGACGATTGACTACAGGTCTTCATGTAACATTGAGGGCATATTTACACCAGCTATCGTTAATTCTGTATGATCCTTACAATGAGTTAATGTAAGTATCTCAACTTATGCTGCAGTGTTAAGTAATTTTTCTATTCGGAAACCTGGGTATTTTCCCCTCAGCTTATTCTAAGGTAGAACATACCTTGCTTAGATAAAGCCGTTCCCATTGAAAGTCTTCTAAGATACACAGAGTAAAACAGCCAGCCTTTCAATGTGCTTTTCACTACTTGTTCAATCAAATGCTGTCATCTCATAGGTATACCAGGAGTTTAGGATTAAAGTTGGCCAAACTGATTATTGCCATCAGCATTGTGCCATAGTTCTGTTTTTAAGAAAATTGCTTTGTTAATTGTCTAGAAGCTGCGTCTTAGTCCTGCAGAACAACCACCGAGGAAATCTAGAAGTGTAGCCAGAAGAACAGTGACAGCTGCTCTTCACTTTTCAAGATCTGTCGTTACACAAGTCCATAAAGGGCTCTTGTTCCTTTTTTTCTTCTCCAAAGTCTTATTTTGACTGTAGGTACGAGGCACTTTAAATGTCTGGCCCTGAGATCTCAGTTCTGTCTCCTGCCAGAACTGTCTCCTCACTTCTGTTACTATATTGCTTAAAGAATATACTTAAAGAAATTTTGGATGAAATCTTACTGCCATTGTCAGTTATCATAGGACTGGAAAAGGATAAATAGAGTGGCTGTTTCCGAAAGGAGAAGAACCCATGTAATTACAGACCGGTCAGCTCAACTTCATTCCAGAAAATACCTGGAACAAATATTCACAATCTGAGCACCTCAAAGACAGTAGGAACATAAGATGCTGCTTAACTCTAGGAGTATCTATTCCTCCATAGTAGTGTAAGTTACTGTCTGTCTGGTAGTATCCTTAACAAATCCAAACATGGGTTCGACATGGTTTGTTCTTACAAAAGCCACCTGAATTCCTGCCACAACATAGTTAAAACGCTTTGTGGAAAGAATAGTCATCTTCTGAAACGAAGTCTACTGTAATCAGTAAGACTCTCTCACACAAGATTTTTATAGGCAAACTAGGGCAAGATAGCAAACAGTCCAGAAAATGTCCTGTGTGGCAAATACAAAACTGGCTTAAAACCATTCACAAAGAATGGGTATTGCTTATTGCCATAATAAGGGAAGAATGCTTTGCTTGGAGGTTTGCCTGAGGCCCAGTTCTCTTCAGGGGTTTCATAAATGACCCAGATAATATATAAAGGATGCCCGTTATCTCTGCAGGTGACATAAACCTGGGAGAAACTTATGCACCTTGAAGGGCATTACTGGAATTCAGAGTGATCCTGAGAAATTGGAGATGCTGCCCAAAGGGGGAAAAAAAAAAAACAGAAACAAAAACAAAAACAAAAAACCAATCCTTTACAAATAAATTATAAGGAGAATATCTGGCTAGACAAAAGTTCTTTAGAAATTATTTAGGGGCTTTTGTCAGTTGCACACATGAATCAGGAGATGGAGAAAATCAGGATATGAGGACACACAGAATGTATTTGTTTAGCTCAAATAAAAGAAGCACAAGATGGGTGCAGTGGGAGGAGGTATGCACCAAGTCTTCAAGCACGTAAGAGCCAGCTGTGAAGAGGAACAGCATGAACCTTCTCTACTTTCATAGCAGACAAATGGAAATAATGAGCAGCAAGGAGTCAGGCTAGACATCAGGGAACATTTCCTAACAGTAGCAAAACAAAGCACTGGAACAGACTGCTCGGAGCAGTTATGTGATCTCTGTCATTAGAGATCTTTAGTTTTAGATTAAAATCTGTCAAGGATTATTTTGGTATATTGGAGCCTACCTTGGGGTAAAGAGTTGAAGTAAATGAACTCACAGTGCCCCATCCATCCCTAGGAATCGGTGGTAAGAGGTTTAAGCTAGCATGGAGCGCTCTGTCTTGTTTTCTGTGTCCTTTCAGCATACAAGCAGATACTACTTTTCAGTCTAATGTTAACCAATGATTTTATGTCTGCTTCCAGTAAAAACTCTGAAAGAGGGTGCTTCTGGATTTTAACACTTGATAGAAAGCAGTTGTTCTCACATGGAAGGAGAGAGATAATTCCTACAGGGAACAGAGAGGTGGTTTTGTCTTTATCGGTCAAAATACCAGAGTGCTTAAAAGCAATACCTGAGTACGTGAAACAAAATGCATCCCTGTGTTAGCAACTTTTTCAAGGTTTGCATTCCGTTTTATTCTGTATTAGACTCAAGTTGCCATTAGCTGATTTGGTAATTTAATGTCGTGTTTCTTTCCATCTGCTGGATTATCAGCTTTAGAATTGCATCACTATTGACAAGCAATTTAAAAGCAATCTTCAATTCTAATGGCTCCGTAAGAAAAAACATCTGTCCTGCATTTGCTCTGTAAATTCAGAGACCAGGGCCAGCAGAACCAATCTAAGCAGAATTCAATATCACTTGTGCTTCCCTACTCCTCAGTTAAGTACAAGTGCTTCCCTACTCCTTAACTAAAAAATGTAACATAATTCAGAGATGCTGAAGGATAGAACTCACGATCAAGCCTCACAAATTAGCTTGTCTTACATTTTTCTATTTTTTTTCCCCTCCTTCTAATGAAGGACATTGTTACTGCTTTTGAGGTTCTTTTGGTGTATCAGATATATCCGAGTGGAGACAGGGGCGGGTGTGGAAGTGAGCCCCAGCACTTTAGTTATTTTGGTACCGGGGTGCCTTCACAGGCCTCCGGGGCGCCCTGCCGCTCGCCTTGCATTCCTTCCCCTGCCCTCCACAACAGGGGAAGTGCGTTGTATCTACCCACATCTAAACGTATTGAATCAGTTTGCTTGAAAGCCATTCTTTTTCCCTCTGCTTTTTCCCTTTTCCCAAGCATCACGAGCTCTCAGTCTTCATGATCAGTGCCAGTGACCACCTTCACGTTCTCCAGTGCATGAGAATCAAGGACAAACCCAGCTGTCCTCCTGGTCACCTCGTACTTTGCTCCTTTTAGCCATACCACAAGTAGAGGTGGCGAGAGATTTAGTGTTAATAATACCTTAAAGTAGCAGTTGTTGTTTTAATGGCAATTGTTCATACATAGATATTTAAAAACACAGAAATTATCTGAGTTGCCTTTAAGTGTTAGGCATTCTTTGCTATATGTTTTCTGTGGAAAACACCTTCCTTTTCTTTCCGTCTGCATTAGAATAATTTAATTGGCTTGTTTATTTTTCAACAGAGAAGGGAAGAAACTATTTTATAATAGTTTTTCCACACAGTTGAAAGTTATCGGTCTTTTCAACAGAAATAAATTAACCATTGAGAAAAAAAAAAAAAAAAAAATGGAAGTGCCTGTAACAGAAAGTTTTGACAAGTTATATAGAAATTGAAATGCTAAAGGGGAAAAAAAAAATTGTTATTGTTGTACTTTTTCCATAATGATCAGCTTAGGCATTGGTTGTAAATGAAAAAAGTAAAACATTCAGAGAGAAAATTATGTTTGGAGTTGATTGTCCCATGAATACATTTGTCCTGTAATTGAAATAACAGCACCTTTTCTTTTTCTCCATGAAAATAACAGCTTAATGTTAGTATGCTAGCAAATATAAGCTTTACTAAAATGTTTACTCTAGAGTTAAACACTACATTCGGTCATATGTGGCAAGAAAAAATAAATCCATTTTTGTGATCTAGCAAGTGCCCCAGCCTCACCTCGGGAAATGATCAGCCTAAAAGAAAGAAAAACAGACTATGAATCAACCGGAACAAACGCCACTTACCATGGAAATAAGGGTGAACACACTTCTAGGAAAGACACCATGACAGGTGAGATTGTGCTTGCATAGCATATTTAAAAATCAATCAGCTGTGATAGACCACTGATTTTACAGGCTTGGCTAGGTTTACTGTATTATAGAAAAGACTCATCCTGCTTTGGCTGATTCCAAAGTTTTAGCCTCCTTGAGAAGTACAACTGAAGAAATATTTGATCTTAATGAATATAATGCGATGTGAAAATGATTTGTGAAGACAGTGTTTCTTCACAGAAGAAAGGCTCTAAAACTGATTTTACATTTCTTTTTAATTTTACGTTTGTTTTCGTTTCGGAAGTAAGTTGGCAGATCACTTTGAATTGACTAGTGTTTCTTCTGCAAGCATGACAGTGAGCATGTGCAGTGATCCCTAACGCCTCCTTTGCAGGGAATGGCTCTCCAGGCCCAGTTAGCTTATTTCATACATCAGTCATTTCGAGGAAATTTAGTAGCTGTTTGTAAAGTCTATTCGTGTTGCTTTCACAGCTGGGCTGATTTAAATGCAACAATTTTCTCCATGTATGTTACGGCATCTATTGCAGGTTTCACTGAAGGCCCCTCTGCCCCGGTGAGCTCATTAACTTGTTAGCATTTCAATAATTGTAAAATTCCGAGTGCTTTGCCCAGTACTGCACCTTCTTCATTAATTCCCGTGCAAAATACGCGTTGGTCTCCATAAGCATTGCACAGATTTCTGTAACCTCTGTCGAACATTTTGTTACATCCATGTAGTGCCAATTATCATGGTGTCCTCTTCTCCAAATGCTACCTCAGGGCAAGCCAAAAAAAAAAAAAAAAAAATCACAGTGAGGAGTCACTCTATACTTTGTGAATGCCTGTTACCTTCTCCCACGCCCTCTGTAGAGGTCTTGCTTAGAGGATGCCAGAACAGGTCGTCTTTGTGTTTCTCAGCTCACTGGGGACACCAGGAACATGCTGACTCACGTCAAGCCATCCATACTAACTTTAAAGCCCATGTTCAGGATACGAAGATACTCGTACTGCATCTGCTGTGTTATATGCTGCTGCGTAATCAAAACCTAAACACCAGCCTTCGAGTTTGTGAGAAAACGCGATGCAGAACATTACTTAGCGTGCAAGTGAAAATTTAAAGAAGATGAATGACAGTCAAGAACATTGGGAAGCCACGGAAGTGAGGAGTGTCCTGAGCAACATCTGCAGGGTACTGCGTGAGATTGCAGCAGACTCAGTTGAGGTACTGCATTTTTTGTATCTGTAATATTTTGAATGTTTCATGGCCGCTGCACGAGGCGGCTCCCTCAAACACTTCAGTGGTCCTTACTTGTGTGGTTGGGAAGGACAGGACTGCTGGTTTTCCAGCACTTTGTCAAGGATCCGTGAAGAGGGAATCTCAGGAGTAAGAGCAGCAGGCTGAAAAGGCAGAAACATCAGTATTTTGTTCTATCTGTATCTGCAGATTTAGACTACCAGATTATATCAGAAGGTTAATCCCAAAGACGTGTTTCCATGTGGAAAATCTGTGTTCCCTTGCAGATAGTCTTGTTGTTCTCCACACATTAAAAAAATCAGGGTTTCTTTTTTCCCCAAACCTTTTCACTTTGTCTTTTACTGTCGTGCTTTTCTTCCCCCATTCCTGTTTCCCTTGCTCTTTCAGTATAGTTTTTGGCATGTGGGGTTTGTACTTCCCCAGCAACCTTTGTTCCACTTTGATTTTTGCATCGTGTTTTCCATTAATGTCTGCTTGTATTTTGTCTGTTCTTATTGATCTTTTGGGTGGGCTTTTTGCAAGGAAACTTGAAACTCAGCATCATGCTCAGCTATCGACTATTTTTTTCCAACTACTGAGCTCAGTGAGAAAAATCAAAAGCAAAATCAAATTGAAAAGTGTAATAATATTTCACAGTCTTACATGACCATTGTACAAATGAGTGCGGAATTAACAAATACTTTTCTCTTTTTTTTCAGATCACCAAATCTCTGCTCATTTGGTCTAAGCTCAAATTAAGCACCATTTTAAGCACAAAAGAAAATGACAGAAGGAGTCTTGCTCCTCAACATTCAATGTGAAATTTGTGTAACGTATTTGTAGCTCATTAAATAATAAATATTTCATTAAACAACAATATAAAGTCAGTATTTTTTATTTTAATTGGGAGACATTTTGGCTTTATTTGTATGGTCTAATATAAGTTTGTGTGGCAAGTTCATTGCAATGCCTGTATTTCATTTTGTGCATCAGACAGTGCATTGTAGCTAATACATCCACAGAGCCTATGGGGCTTAGATAAATGGTTTTTCAGGTTCCACCTGGCATATACATATTTTGAGCTGCTCTTGTATTCTGTGCCAAGATGATGTATTACACAAACCTTCCTTGGAGTTACAGCTTTACAGAGAAGGTAGAGCCACAGCTGTAGTCCCAATTTATCCATGACTGTCTCCATGCTCTTCTCTGAAGCTCTTCTCAGTTGATAGTTCAAAAATTTTATGACCTCTTGGCTGGGACTGAAATGAAGGTTTTTTTGATGGATTGTTGAAGTGGAAATGTTGGCTTCTTGCCATTGTGGGGACTTCTCAGGTAAACCTCTGGGAAAAATGGAGAATCTATGAAGTAAACAGTTTGGCTGAAGATGATAACTTCTATTGATTTCACAAGGACAGCTTAAAAATAGAGGAACAATCTCAAAGTTCTCATTGCCCTCTTCCTTACACAGGTTTATGATGCCTTGTATATTTACTATCCATCTTCTCTTCTCTGTAGAAAATAATAACCAATAATAAAATTTTATCACCTAAAGTATATTTTTAAGACAAAAACTATTATATTCCTTTTAAAAAAACAGGAACTATAAGTGCATGTGATAATGTTATTTATGCCATAGTGTTCTCCTTCAGATCTGGGAATATAAGGTTACTGTATACTATCATGGGACTATTACTCTAAAGTTTCTTTGTTAGTTCCCTCACTGAACTAATATGTGCATCCCAGTCTGCACCCTCTATCTTTGCTCCCACAAGCAGAAACACCTTCTGATTTATTTATTTTATTTTGATGTCAAGAACCTATACTTTTGTTATTTAAACTTACTTCTAAGTCCCTGCACGTTCAGAACGCAACCAACCACCATCACCTGTTCCAACAGCTGCAGATGTTTGGGCTACTTGGGCTTATTATTCCTTTAAGAAACTGTAATACACTGGAATCTTTTCTCATGCCCTCACCTCACCTTCCATTGTGCAGAAAGGCGGCAGTTGTAGTGACAAGCAATCATCTCTGTTAGCCGAGATGTGTGAGGTACAGAAGCATTTTCCTTTACTGTCTTGAGCTAAATTTTAGGAAGTGGAATCCTGCTGCTTATAGCAGAAAAGGCAGGTTATGCAATACCAGAGGAGAATGACTACCTGTCCAGCTGAGCTTTCGTTTCTTACTATCGGTCTGTGTTTCTGAGGGCAAAAGGCTAGCACCTTGTTATTTCGAAGTGCCTGAAAATGTGTTCAGAATAAATACTTAGTAGCACTAAAAGCTGAATGTTAAACTATGAATCAAGTGACTGAGATATATGGAGGTGGCTTCGGTCACTGATACCTTTGTCACATAAACCACTGAGTGACATAATTTTCACAGCTGTTGTCAGCTTTGCAGAAAACTGCTGTGGAGAACTGCATAGGTTTTTTTTTAAAAAAACAACATCACGTTGAAAATTGAACAGGGAAAAAAGGAAAGTATTCTTCTGTAATGTTCTTTATGCAATGCAACCACAAAGTACCGCAGGTTGATCATAGTACTCATTTTAGAACCTTCACAATTTTGCCTAGTAAAAAGTACCTCTTCAGTGCTATCATGTACTGATGTTTAGATACTGCATAAAATAAACACAAGCACACACACACTCATCACTCCTCGAATCATTTCATCAGCAGCTACAATTCTCACATCTCTGTAAGGAAGCGTGGCTGCTGGAAGATCTCCATCTCTTCCTTCTTGTGCCCCCTTCCCCTTTCTTCCCGTATTGTAAAAAAAGAAAATTATTTCCTCAATCTCTCTTCCTCTCCGATAATTTAACCGTGATGGTACGTGTACAATATTAACAGCAAAAATCAAATACTAACCACACAGTATCTGTACATGCTCTCCCTTTTTTCTTTCATATTTGCCCTCTGCTCTTGGACAGCAAGAGTCAGCTGCTCAGTGAAGCATGGCAGAGTGGGAATGGAGTTCCTAGGGATGCCGCCTGCATGTTCAGAAGCGGGTGCTGGAGCAGGGCTGCATGCATTGCTAGCAGCAACATTGCTTGACTTACATTTCCTCCGGAGACAGAACTATCTCAGCCTCCCAGCTAGACTAAGCCAAGATTTCTTGTTCTTGAACTCTTGGCATTCCTTCCCAAGCATCTGATGTGTCACTCTTTTTATTACATTAAGAAAAGAATACTACTGGGTTTTTTTTTTTTTGGTTTGTTTGTTGGTTGGGTTTTTTTTTTTCATTTTAAACTTGTGAATTTGTATCCACATCACTGAAGTGAAATCAGCAACGCAGACCTTGCAAGCTCTTTTCGTAAGCTGATACTATTCATTTTCCATTGCAGAATATGTGTTCTGGGAGACTGTAAGCCTTCGATCTGGCACGTGACAATTCTGAGCGCATCAGCGCAAATGTCACGGTAGTGCATTGGACAACTGTGCACCAACTCTGGACTCTGTCTGTTTTTATAATAGTCATGGCTATTAGTGGCACATATGCACCATATGCCTTTTTAAAAAGATGGTAAAGTCATGACCCTCCTTAAAGTCTCTCTGATTGCCTGTAGGAGCAACATATAAATTAGCATGTGTCCAGTTTGCTATTTTTTATCAGATTCTTCATAAAACCCTCAGGTGTTCCACCTTATACCAGTCTTTTATTCTTAACATCAAACAACCTTGAACAGTATTGTCCTGTCTGGACTGAATATGTTCCATCAAGCCTGACTGAAGACTTGCATGCATGAAACTTCAACCCTGCTTTATCTTGCTATTTATATACACGAAGACAAAACAATTACAAGAGGTTCTTCCTCTGTTTATGAGAGTCCAACACATTGCATGTCACTCGTTTTTTTTCGAGAAGTAGCCTTTCACAAAATGGGTAGCTGAAACACTAACTCTGAGTACCTTTAGATCTTGAGAAGAGGAATTTGTGCAACCCAGCTTCTTCTAGCACTTTGTGGGATGAGCAAAAAACTCAGAAAAACAGCGTAAAAAAAAGATGGTATCGAGGAAAGACCTGGCAGTTGTACTACTGACAGTCGTGGGTCTTGAGATGCACCGTAAATAGCAGTGCTGCTGTGGACTCCTCTAATACCAATGACTGTCGTCAGGAGGGGAGTTTTCAGACACTAAAGCAGAGGCTGCAGCTGGAATACACAAAACAATGAAATAACAGTCACGTCTGTCATCACTCGGGTTAGGAGAGCAGAGAGAACCTCTGCAGATCAACACCTCGGCACTAACATTTACGACCAAAGACGAGCTACTCGAGCACTCATCATTTCCATGTCACCATGTATTAGCACACAGGTGGAATTAAAAGTACTGACCACTGGAAAAGACCAACCAGCATGTGTTACTAGAGTTCATATTGTCCCCACCTTCACAGAAGGAATCCTGCTGCACTCCTTGGAGACCTCCAGAGCCCTTCTCCATTTACTACACAGGACTACGCACTGTCTCAGTAACTGCATCCAGCTCTTCAAGAAATGAGTTTTTTCACCCCCATTAGTTAATAGTTATGAAGTGAAAAATCTCCTTTTCCAGCTGTTAGGGCTCATAACCCCACCGTATAAGCCCTGTCTTTATACTGTTTCAAGAACACAGTGGAGATCGTTAGCACCACCATCTGAGATCTGTAAAGCAGCAACATGGAGCTGCGCACCAAACTGACAAAAATTATGCATTCAGCATGGAACCCACGGCGGAGGTGGGGATCAGAATTGGCTTAACACCATGCCATTCCTTCCTCCAGCGAGGGTGCGGTGGTGGGGGTGCAAATAGAGGCAGTTGTACACGCTGGGGTCCATGCTAGCAGGGTGCCAAAGGAAGAAAAAGCGGTTACTTCTTCAGTAACTGTGGTTCTTCTTAGGGACGTGACTAGCATGGATCCCGTGCCCAGCTTTCAGCTCTGATGCTCAGTCCTCACCCTCCAAGGTTTTGAGTTGTGAAGGGACTGAAAGCAACTCTTGGTGCCTCCAGGTTTTACATCATTGCACAGGGGCCTGGGAGAAGTCGCGCGAGCAACATGTTTCAGTTCCACTGATGACTGATTCACAGCTACTCAATTTTTACTTTCAGGCACGTGCTCTTATAATGAGAGTATCAAAGCATTGGTTATAATGTCTAGAAAGCTAATAATGCTTGCTCAGTAAGAACAGTGTGAAGCAGCCACGCAGAATACTACCCTCATGTTGTTTCAAATATGAGAAATAACTAAAACCTTTCTAGGTCTACCAGGAAGCTAAGCTTCAGCTAGAGAGCCAAATCAAAGTCATCAGTGAAGCCAGCTTTGCAGGAAAATCCTTAGCTTTTTATGTGGGGTTTTGGGACAGGGTGGGAAACAAATTTATGCAGAACTGCGTGATGTTAACCTTGTCTTTAGAATTACTTCTGATTTCCAACTCATAGCTCAGTTTTGTCTGTGCATTTTAGTAGTAGGACGTCTGAGAAGAAGGTGACAGCACTTCATGGATTTAAGACTATCTTGGCCAGATCTCTTCAGTGTAACTACATATTACTTTTTTGCATAACTCATTTTTCAGTTGAATTTAATCACTTTTTCCACGAATGATTTTCACAATATAGCAAAAGCACTGTAGGATAAATAATCCCAACTGAAATGAAAGGACTGAAATTGTTTCTTGCTCTCAATAACTACACCTGTTACTTGTTTAGTGTATGTGTGATATAAAATCCCATACACAACCTGAAATATACTATGGAATATTAGCTTTATATAACATTTTTTTTGTTGATTTATATGTGAAGTACACAAGATTGGTGTGAACATGACATAGCGCCTGTTACCATTAATAAGTGTATTTAATAAGATGCACATGCATCTACATCAAAGCAAAGATTATGACTTTTTAGTGGGAGGAGGAGAAAACAGAAGTCTGCAGATGCTTTTGAAGATTCTTGTGTGTGGGAAGTGGGCATTGTATAATGTAGTCAACGAATCCTTAAGAATTCACTTTGAGGCCAAAGAGGTGTGTTTGGTAACCCTGCTTTATCCTTCCTTTTTTCTCTTTCCAGCTCAAAACACTGGAATCTCAACTTTGTACAGGAATTCGTACGGTGCGCCTCCTGAAGATATCAAACATAACCAGGTAAGCACGGAGACTAAAACGTTACTGTTTAAGATGGCAAAAGACCAGTGCAATATCTTATATGGAAATTAAGAATATCTCGAAGACTGAGAAATCTATGTTAGAGGAACTGAGTCACCTGCTTGCACAAACGCTAGCAATTCCACTGGCTTCAAACAAGCTGTGTTCTTTATGCTCACGGATAACTTCAGCCCAAGGTTCAAAAATGTCCAGCAGGTTATGACAACATATGCACAAAAATGATGACACCATATGCATAAAAATTATCTGAAGTGTTTAAACCTGTAAGTCGTAATGAAATCAAGAGGGGCTTGGGGCCCGAATGCCTTTACAGTTCTGGATATGTGTGACGCAGGCTACGAAAGCCAAGCTAAAGTTAGTGAGCACTTCTCCTGGCTCTGGTATCTCGTGATGTCCCGTGGCAGTGAATTTGCTGAACTCCAGCCATACTTACTTGAGCATACGTGCTAAGGCATCCTAGCAAAAACTCAAGTTTTTAACAGGCCTAGAGAAAGAACCCCCTGTATCTCTTGCAAGGGCGTGCTCACTGTACTTGGGTGCAGCCAGAGCCCTCCGATTTGCCATTTAACGTGACTGCAACAAGGCTTTTTGTTTGTTTTTTAATGTATGCACCAGGGCATGGGCAAGAGAAAAAAAAAAAAAAACTATCCTTTCATTGGCAAGAACACTTTCCCATGTATATACATCCAAGTCATCCAGTCTAGAGCTTTGGGACTCTGTTAAAAATGTCCTGTTCCTGAAAACCAGCACCCAGTAAGTGCATCTGGATAGGGTGGGCGTTACAAAAGTGTGATTGGCAGCATGGGTGCCGAGCTAATGCCCTCACAGAAAAAGGGTTGTTGCAATATTGATGTGTACGGCATTCAGATGGCTGGTACTGCCAGTAGAGTATTTCCTCAGTCCCTGGAAAACACATTTTTCTGCAGCCTTAGACTTTGTCTCATCATTATATGTAATTCTACTTTATCCTCAATTACCGCAGCTCCTTAGTATTTTCACAACTTCCCTATGTAATATGCAAAAGTTACAGCATTTTTCGACTAGAGAAATGAGGCCAAAAACATTGAAGGAAAGCACCGAAAATTATTGTCAGATGACTAAATTAATATTTAGTAAAATTGATAAAAAATATTAGCACAAAAAATTATTGTCAGATGACTAAATTAATATTTAGTAAAATGGATACAAAATATTTTTCTCTGAAAATTTTTACTACATTATCTGACATTTCCATTTAAGAGACTGGTATTTCAGTTTCGATCCACAAACTTAAGGTGAAGAAAGTTTCCGATACTCTGTGCCCCCATTTCTCTTTCTTACTTTTGTGATGAGCCAGTATTTCCTGTGGTGCACTATGTTCTTTCTTTGTGTGAGCCAGTTCAGTGCATGAAGATGTTTCTGCTTTTATTGCATTTAAAGAGATTAAGCCCTTCTAAGCAATGCAGGATCTAGAATAAATAAGGGTATGAGGTGCTGTAACAGCAGGTGCACTCTAACTGCAGTCATGAATCAACTAATTTGATTTTGGGGGTGAGAGTTGGAGCGAAAAGAAAACAAACAAACAAAAAAAAAAAGCCAACAAACAATCTTCCACCTTTTCCCACTTGCTTTCTCAATGAAATGACAAGCGTGTGATGGACATATCGGAAAGAATGTTTTTAGCTAGAAATAACCCAGAAATACTTCAGTCCCTTATTTTCTACTCAAAAATTGACCGTCTCTTAACTTTTTGTCGTATAAACAACCTGCTCGGTGTAGAGTTTTTCCCCGGTGTCCAAAATGAAACACCCATGTTTGAATATGTGAAATTGAAACAAGGGGCTGAAGGTCCTGGACACCTAGGTAGTGGTGCCAGAAATAGAAATTGGAACAGTTATGCTCCCTTGTGCAGTTCTGATACTGGGCCCAGTCTTGCAAGATCGCTCGTGGGATTGTTAAGGAGAGGACAGAGGCAGCCGTTCGCACTCGACACGCAGGGACCAATACGGACACCGTTTGCAGGAATATCACGGAGTTTGGGACACAGCAGTGCGACTGTTCCTCTCTTCTGGAGGGAGCACTACTAACTCTCACAGTCAGCAGGACCTGCACAGCCTTCTGAGACCGGTGTCTGAGCATCAGCGTTCCCAGCGGTGACCATCTAAGGATTGCAAGGCTCTGTCATTTTGCAGTCACAGAGCCTGCCCAAACTTACAGAGGTGGCAGAGGGTGAAAGGTAGTGTTCCATACTTAGCCTGTGTTTATTAATTTCAGATTTTAATTAAGACCCGACTATAAAACCGGAGACTCGCTAGGGCTGTCTGAAGAAAACTTTATGGCAAACTTGGGTTAGAGGACCGCGGGAGATTCTTGTCTTTCTGCATATCATAAATATTTCAGCTTCCAGGCAGCCTGCTGGAATGTAGCAACAACGCAAGGTTGCCGACATGAAGTGTTGAGGAGGTGGCAAGAAGCTGGTTCTCCTTAACAGTAGCGGAAAAACACATTTCAGGGCACTTAGCTTGAAATTTTCTCGTGTCAGTGCCCCGAAGACTATAAATGGTTCTTAAGGATATGGTGTCACCCTAAATCTCACTTGTGGCAAAGGCAGCTAGCAAGCATTTAGCATCTTTGAGTGTGTATCACTTCCATTCAAATTCTTCAAGACTGAGTTTTGGCTAAACTGCAAAATAGTCAGAAAGTTATACACAGATCACAGTTACTGAAGGAACTGTAAGCTACGCTGCTTGAACTACTTCTGAAGTAAACCAGCATCTTTAGTAGCAATAATATTCAATAATAAAAGTATTCAATAATAATATTAAAGAAATAACTGTAAAGAAGTATAATAACCAGGGAAGGCTGTGGAATTAATTCACTACCAAGCAATACCTTGAGCAGATGTTAAGATAACGCACAACTTGGTATTTCCAGCTTGATAAACACAAGTGAGCTTTACTCCCCCTTCCACCCCGCTGCCCACAATAAGTTGTATATAACAAGCTGTGGGCGTTACTGTGTTTCAGGTTTCAACACAGCCAGTTCCACAGGAGCCCAGCAGAAAAGATTATGAACCATATCAGCCGTTTCAGAATTCAACAAGAAACTACGATGAGTCCTTCTTTGAGGACCAAGTGCATCATCGTCCACCTGCAAGCGAATACAACATGCACCTGGGACTGAAGTCAACCGGCAACTACGTCGACTTCTATTCAGCTGCTCGTCCCTATAGCGAACTTAACTATGAAACAAGCCACTATCCAGCCTCTCCCGACTCCTGGGTTTGAGACTTGGACAGATACAAAAGCTCCAGGAACTGTGCATGTGCATGCATACCACAAGACATTTTTTTTCCTGCAAATTTAGTTTGTTTAAAGCCTGTTCCATAGGAAGGCCCAGATAACCAGTATGGAAAAAAACTAAGAGATTTTTTTAGAAGGCTTAAAAGATACGAAAGCTAAACCTGGGAGTAATTAGAAAGAAATATATATACATATATATATATTTTACAGTGTGGGGCAACTTTACTGTTGGCCTGTAGAGTCTAAAGTTCGGTGCTGTATATCGAATGTGGCTGAAGGAAGGAGGGAGAACAAGACAGTGGATGTGGGTCAAGAGTTAAGCACAAGTAACTGAGCAGCGTACATACTTTATGGGGAACAGCTTCTCACACTTTGTTTAATATCCTCATTCATTGTGAATCTAGGCTTCAAGATGCATTTGGGGTTTCCTCTGTACAGCAAGATGTTTCTTGCCTTTTGTTAATGCATTGTTGTAAAGTATTTGATGTACATTACAGAGAAAAAAAAAAAAAAAAAACAACAAAAAAAAAAACAAGCGCATTGTGTATATTACACCAATGCCACAGTGTTTCTTCATCTATGGTTCTAAATATTGCTTCAATTTCAAATTTTGAAAGATGTATGAATTTCCAGTTTTTTGTTTTCTTTTCCCCGGTGCGTTTTAACAAAAAAAAAAAAAAAAAAAAAAAAAAACCTCGAAAACTTAAAAAAACAAAAAGGAATATTTAGCGGTATTGTTTGTTCTGATATGTGAATTTGTTTGTGGCAACTAAAAAAACAAAAAAAGGCATTCAGCAGTTTCTGACAATTAACATTCATCATTCCACACTCCTTGTCAATGAAGTGCTTTTTCACTGCCTAAAATTTTAGATGTAGATATTTGAAATAGATTTTTTCATTTATACCAGTTTTCTTTATGATGATACAGTGTTAAAAGAAAATAAATTACAATTGATCTGTCATCCATATTTGCTAAGAATGTCTATTTCCAAGAACCTACCATACAAATACACATTCTTACTTGTGTGTGTCCTCGTATGCATAGTGTTCCGTGTGCGCGTGTGTGTTTGAGTGTGTGCGTTTGTGTGGTGTAAGACTTCTCTTCATCCAATGTTTTCCTTGTTCAAGCTTCAGTTTTCGTTTAATTTTCAGTTTTTTAAGCAGTGGAAACTCCAGTATGTGCTTTCTCTTACTCACCTTCTTAACCATCGATAGCTATTCAAAATTGGTAGGCCACATACTCACCAAGGAAGGGGTTATCAGATTTTTTTCACTGACTCCTTCACCCTTAGGTGCCATTTCCTTTAAAATAGCATCTCTTGATCTTCTCTCGAGGAAATTTCTGTACTCTCCAGCCACCAACCAGCAAAGGCTCAAGGAAGGCAGGGTTTGATCTTGCCATCTCCGTGAGGGCCTGGAAAACAAAGACCCGACAGACTTAAGTCTGGAGTCTCCAAATTCTTCAGGCTCCAGAAGGGTCCAATTTCTGAACCATTAGGACAATCATTTATTTTAACCCATACCAAAAAGAAAACCCAACACCCAGAACACTATTCCTCAAATATGAAAGATACCGACCGTTTCTGTGCATTTAAAGTAAAACCCTGAAAAGTAAAAAATGTAAGGGACAGAGAATTTTTTTTTTAATTTAAAGAAAAAAAAAAAAAAAAAAAAGGAAGCTAGGCTAGGAGGCATATTCATCTTAGCTCTTGGGATTCTGGAAGTAAAAAATGGAATCTAGCATTTTTTCATTTCTTCGATTCAGGCAACAGTTCAGCCTATAGCTTTCACAGCATAAGACCCACCACGAACGGGAGTAGTTGTAAATTGCTTAAATTACAATTAAGGAATTTGTTTCGGGTTGCAAACATTTCTGTGATCAGTCATTGTAATACTTGTGGCTGTGCGCAGGGGGAAAAGTCTCTCGCAAGTCATCGCCTGCTCTATAGGACGCAGCCTGAGTAGCTCACGCCGGCGGGTGTTGTGGTGTAGAATTGGTTTATCGGTAATCTAGGACCATAGTTTAATCTTTTCGGCAGCTTTTCCCAGTGTACGATATGTAACCTTATCTGCTCTTTGTAGTAAACAGGGGGAAAAAAATCGCATGCAAAAAAATTTTTAAAAAAATTTAAGAAAGGGTGGGGCGGGGGGGACACAGTGGGCCAGATGTATAGTGAGGTAGATAAAAATATTATTCATAGTTTTGGACACAGGTTGTTTATATTTTATTTATTACATTGATTTTAATAAGATAAGTGACATTTGCAGTGCTCTTTTGAACAAAGCACATTTTCAGTATAAAAACCTTTTTTTAATAAAGAATGTCACTCGCAACTTGAAGTTCTTCTTGACTGCCCGATGGCCGCAAGGCTGGTGCAGCTCTCCAGGTGCAGGATTGCCGACAGGCCGAGGGGATCCGACATTCTGTTTGAAGTTCTTAGCACCGTAGGTTGGATTTATTTCCATTCTTCAAGCTACTGAAATGCCCACGTTGCCCCCTTTCATCTCCTCTTAGGAGTTACTCGGAGTCAAATGTTGACCATTGCTCAAGTGAGAGATTCTGGATCGATGAAGTGGCATAAAACACCTTTTGTCTATACTTTGTGTTGTTTTGTTTCCATTCTTCTGTAGTGGCAAGTGCTCCGACTGGTAACGTTCACCCTTGCTGTACTGAGTTTTGAGAAGGTGTTGAATTACCTGGCTTCTTTTCCAGGCTTGGAAATCCAACACTGCGGCCATACTGAGCAAGATCTACATGATGCATTCTTTTTAATATTGAGGAAAGTATCATTACCTATTGCTGTTCCCTTCATTCTTGTACTAGATCACACACAGACCTAGAGAAGAAACAAAACTGTTCTTAAAAAAAATGTATAAAATGCAATTGATGTACTGTAAAATGTCGGATTTTTTTTTTTTTTTTTTATTTTAACAAGCTTCGTATTAGAATCTTGTTCAGCTGTGTAGAGCTATATAAATCTCACTGTTTTATTAAATGCTGTTTATGGTCTGGAAGGAATGGTTAACCTATCTCAAGATTAACAAATTTGCACTAACATGAGCAATATTGATTTGAAAAAAAAATATTAATTCAATATTTAAAAGATAAACTATGATTTTAAAGGTATATTAACACTGAAAGTACATTTTGACAGATAACATATTTAAGCCCAAAATATAAATGGTTATGTCAGGTAACACAAAAGAACTATAACAATATAGATTGAGAAAAGAAAAAAAAAAAAAAAAAAAAGATGTGTTTCACTGTACATGTTGCTAACATGTACAAAGACAAACTCATATTGACATATTTTCTATTAATAAATCCTACTGTATTGTGGAGAATCGCTGGTCATAGTGCAATATGTTTAAACTCAGAAGTTGACCCCATAGACGGACGCCTAGCTTCACCCAGGCAACAAGCCCTCGCCATTTAGTCGTTTTGAATATTATTGGGCTAGCTAACTTTCCCCTCCCGAGTCGTTCACTCCCTCCTCCCTCTCCTCCAGGTTGATGGGCACAACCTGCTCTACGACTGCAAGCGAAGGGGCGAGGGAACACCCGGTTCACCCCAAAATACAGCTGCGAGAGCTCAGCTCCCACCGCTTACAGGCTTCTGTAGAAAAGCTAAAAAAAAAAGTTTTTTCTGTAGAAAAAACTAAAAAGCTCCAGGCTGGTGCCACTGGACAGGAACATGTTGTAAAAAATACAACCTTGGCCCCAGTGCTGCCTAGACCACGGCCAAGAATCGGCGAGCGAGCCGTTAATTTGCTCCTTCGTGGGCGGGAGTCCCCGCGTGCAGTGCACGTCAGGGCTCAGGAATAATTGTTTCCTGGGACCGGGTTGCCTTAGCCTGCAGAAGCGTCTCGCCGGGGAGACTTGCAACTCAAATCAGAATCGCTTTTTTTTTTTTTTTTTTTTTTTTTTTTTTTAATTTTTTTTTTACACCTTGGCACAGCCAGTGCTGCACAGGAGGCTTCCTCAGCTCCTCCAACCCTCTTACTCATCCTCTCCTGCCAGCGGGCAGGAGGAGCTCCGAGTTTAGTGTCACTGCTTGTATCACGGGGAGCGGTGAGAGGAGTGGGAGGGATGGAGACAGCAATCCAAAGGGGGGGGACGGGGGGAGGGAAACAAACAAAGGGCCTAAAAATACAGAAACTCGGAGCTCGTGCACGAAGACGGATGCGCACCCATAACTACTAACAGTGGGATGGAGCCAGTAAGAGATTTTATGCACCGAGATCATCAAATCTTGCTCGCAAGGTGATGTACTGAACGTTTAACAGCAGCGACGTGATGCGCGCAAAGCTTCGTGCCAGAAAAGCGGGAGGGAGCAGCAGAGGGAAATCAGAGACCCGGGTCGGGCGCTTGCAGCTCCAGCCAGCAGCAGGCGTTGGGCCTGAGGGCAGCGACCGCTGGCTGCTGCGAAGGAGAGAGGAGAGCGATGAGACTTTTGATCGAGGTACTTTTAAGCCTAGGTCCAAAATTTTAGACGAGGAAGATACCAGGCAGCTCAAACAGGGGCAACTTTCTGTCGACCTCCCCGCTTGCCCCACCGGCCTCAACTGCAGAGCGCGGGGTCCCCCCCCCCGGCAGGCAGATTTTAAACAGCGGCCTAAAGCTGGTTTTAGACATTTAGGCTGAAAGTGGGAGGTGGGAGTTTCACCTCCCTGGGGCAAGGGGATTGAAGCCTGCAGCTGATACCTGGCGGGGGAAGGAGGGGAGGGGGCAGCCCCACCGTCCAGGCTGTTCTAAAAAACAAGAGAGGAAAGCAGGGACTATCGTGCCTTTTGACAGCCCGGGTTAGGAACACTTGCCCCTAACCCTTCTGCGAGCCAAGACAAAAAACTCCACCTAATTCAAGCACTTCAGGTTCTTCCTCTGCGACGTGCACACCCCACACCACCACAACCCTCTGCCAGCCCAGCGTGGCACATGCACGAGCACTGGTGCTAGCCAGGCACAGCACCCTAGCAAGGCACCGCGCCAATGCGTCATTCTTAAACCTAATTCCCAGCTGAACCCACGTTAGTATTTTTAACGCAATTTCAAAAGCAGTTTCCTTCCTCTGTGGGCATTGGTATTACTCTGCCAGCAGAAAGCGCCGGCTAAACTCTTGCAAAGTGTGAATGTTTAGCTTACACCCAGCTTTAAAACCCACGGAAGTCCCTGGAAAGGCGCCCGTCAGCTTCCCCAGGTCGTGGATCGGGCCCAGAGCAAAAACAGGTGAAGAATTGGTGCAACGCTCTCAAAGCGCTCACACTGAGGCAGCTCTTGCTGCAACCTTCTAATAGCTGAAAGGAGGAAAAAAAAAAAAAAAAAAAAAAAAGCAAGTTGCTTGCTAGTATGTGTCTGTCAAAATTTCCTATCGAGCCTTTGGCTCTCTGTAATTTCATTTTCACTGCTTTAGGAGGATGACATAGATAGAACATACTTGCAGTGACTGTTGCAGTTAATTTTAGTGGCCAGATGAGTAGTTTCAAACACTGAAATACCTTTCTTTTCCTGACAAGCAAAATCTGAAGCTTGCCACTAAATCCAGGAAAGCAAAATAGCAGTGGTTTGCTGATTCACTATTTTTCACTCTTTCCATTAAAATATTAATTCACATAAGCCTTTTCAATTACACATAGCCCAGCGGCCTTGGGGGTCGCTTTTTACATAATCTACTTTTTTTACAGTAATATTATTTAGGCAGAAAATGTTGGTAACTAAACACGCCAATACAATAACTAAAGCATCAAGGCTGAAGAAAAAATGTGTGGCAGAGAATTCAGGCTACTGTGTACAGATGCAATCAATTATTACCTCTGTTTGACATCAACCGATACAAAAAAAAAAAAAAAAAAAAAAAAAGCATCTACTGTATGAAGCCTAACATCTTCCATAGCAAATGTAAGTCCCTTTAAAAAAAGACTTACACCTTTTCCCTCCAAAAAAACCAAACCACAACCTTTTCCTCTAAG